AGGGAGGGAAAAATGAATGTCAATACAGGTGAATTCTTCCCCTACCCTCCTAGTGAACCTGGGAGGCAGAACCACTGCCCTTCTGAGCTGCTGTATTAAAATCATATTCTAATGTGAATGGGAGATGGTTGGGGTGGAGAGAAGCAAAAATAGTGATAGTGAAAGGGAATCGCTCACTAAAGTGCTTATGTTACGCTGCTGCTCGGGGTTTTATTCACGTAAGGCAATAACAACTAGAGTGAATGAGACAGAATGACAATGTAGAAATCGTTGTTATGTGTGTTTTTCCTCACATAACTTTGCCTTACATTTTTAAATTGTGTTACTTTAATTTAATAATATATTTAATTAATTTATATTTGCTTTGTTGTAGATTAAAAAAATACTAATCAAGTCTTTCTACTTCAAAATTTCACACTTAATTCAATGTTTCTTGCTGTTTATTTTAATTATTATTTGTGAAATTTAGCAATTTCTGAGTGAAAGTGATTTCAAAGTAAATCCTACACCCAACTTGCTCCAGTATAGAAAGTTAATTTTTTTTTATGTATCAGTAAAATGTTTTTGGCTGAATCTAGCACATTACAGTAATATCACATTATATTATATTATATTATATTATATTATATTATATTATATTATATTATATTATATTATATTATATTATATTGTACAAATTTGTATTGTATTGTATTGTATCATATTGTGGATTGTCCCTAATAAATAAATAAAGACTGACAGTTAGCCAGATAGAACAAAAGAACAACAGAACGATAGACAGACAGACAGACAGATATAGATAGATAGATAGATAGATAGATAGATCTATGAAGCTGCTTTGCAACAATGTGTATCATGAAAAGCACTATAAAAATAAAAATGTGAATTGAATTTAATAGTTATATAGATGACCAAAAGAAATGTGTGCTGTCTTGTTACTTCATATATCATGCAGAAATGCCGAATTCCTTTAATATGTTGCTCTAAATCCATGGCATGTTTCAGCAGTACTTATTCAAAACAATACATTACATTGCTATATTATATTTCAAGTTATCCCTCTTTGGTTAGTCTTGTTTCTGTGTGCTCTCCAAAGAAATCCTTGAAATAACATGCCTTAAGCTCTGTGCTGAGTAACTGATCATGGTGAATAGTTTGGCATCAGGACATGGCAAGATAAAGCACACTTGACAGAGACATTTCTGCTAGTCTTTTCCTGCTCCCTGGTTTGGCATCTCAACTCATGCAAAGTCAACACACAAAAAGAATACCATTTCTTCCAGTAGTGTCCTGAAAATCGATAAGTATTTAGGAAGCAAGAAAATGTCCGTCTTTAATGACTGTATGACAGTAAATCTGGAAGATTACATTTTCGACTGCTGGTTATCTGCTGCTAGATCTGTTTCTCAGAAAAACAGATGATCAGAAATATCAAACGTACATAAATATTGTGTTTCATGACTAAAATATTCTGCAGTTTTGTTGAGGGTGACAGCAAGATGACTAATGAGTTCAAAAATTTAATTCTAAAAAGAAAATATTTTCAGCACCTGGATTTGTGAAGTTGGGTATTCGCATTAGCCATAAAACGTTGTATGTATTATGAGCATACCTGAGCTGAAGTTTTGCCTAAGACGTGCAGATGAGGTCAAATCTCTTAAAGTGCTGCAGTCAATGTAATTTGACTAATGTTCACACCAAGAATTATAACGAAAAGATTAGCTTTGACAGCAGTGGCTGATAAGATTCTGTTTTTTTATAAACACTCCCTGTTATGCCATCTGCCACTTTAAATGCTCGAGCTCTTTAAATTTGGGTTAATTCTGATTGGCCGTCAATGTTTTTATCGTTTTTATCATCATAGCTATGCTGTGGAGTTCACTATTTTCATAGAATTAGAACGGTATAGTTATAGTTATCGTTATACTCTTCCTTGGTGAGAACAGCTAAAGCTACTGTATGTAGTATGTTTTACCTTGAAATTTTAGTTTCAACATCATTCTGATGGTAATATCATCTCTGATTATAATAAGGCGAATGGCTAGCTGTTTTACGGCATCAACAAATGTATGTGTCCAGCTATCCACTCTAATTATGACAGTGATATATTTACCCCTGTGAATTTTATTCACTTTGGTATCAGTGAATTCTACTTAGCAACGGTATTAGAAAACCCATGATGTTGTGAACCTATGCGCTTATTGCTCCGATTTTACTGGTGGATCAGTACAGATAAGTTAGGATCATAAGGGTTAACATCCAGGGGTTAACAGTGCCTATAGTCCACCTGCGCACAGCTTGTCAAATCTCATCCTTATACTACACTCATCCACTCAACCTCCAATTCATCTCATTGCATTAAAGGATTTGCCTTCTGTCCCCTCCACTTGGTCCAAACCAATCAAGGTCACTGGAGCTGGAAAAAGCAGCAAAGCACAAGAGCATCCAAATTTGCCATAATGTCTGTTATTTACTATCTACTATTACTATTTGTTTTGTTTTTAATTTGTTTGCTTTTTTATTGATCTCTTTGACAATAACTCCAAGATTTCTGGTAACCTGTAGGCCATTCAGAAGATCTGTAGGCCTACCATTCTGAGTCAGGTAATCCTGGAGCAGGAGCCTGCTGACGGCCATTACAAGGAAATGTCTATATGACATCAAACCGAGCTCCATCATATTAGACATAATATCCAACTTAATAAACTCTGTTGAAATTACAGCCTGTCATGGTGCGGTATACTATTTATATTTCTTTATGAACAGAGATGTGAAGACACGTTTGATTCCTAATGTAGTTCTCACTCATCAATGGGGCCCTCAGGGTGTGTGATGGTGAGGGCAGTTGTGCCATCAGTCCTGGCAGCATATCACATGTTCAGGCTCATCCCTATAGAAAGCCGCAGGTACCGCATATATAGAGTCCTTCCTTACCTTTCCCATATCACGTATGTTCCACACTGAAGTCACCAAAAAGCGAGTTGAGAAACATTGCGAGCACAGTCACCTAGAATGCCTTTAGGGAAAAAAATTAAATGATGTTTCCTGTCAACAGGTGCAAAGATGAGTGACATTCACACAAACAAACACTTTAGACTGGAGGCTCTACCATGAGAGTTTTACAGTACGTTGTTACTAAAACACACAGGGCTTAACATTTAAAGTGGTTGAAAATATCTTCAACAAACTCGGTATTCAAATTGTATACTCTGAATTCAGTCTTGCACATGAAGAGGAAATCAAACAAAGATCTCTCGAGCCAAACACCCATCTTTAGTTAAAACAATGGTTACATTTATAAAGGATGAAAGACAGCAGCTAAAATGAGAATGCCTCTGGCAAACTTACAGTGCTCTTTTCCCACTGTGTGACAAACTGATAGCAAGGGTGGAGCAAAAGAATAAACGAGGGAGAGACACACTTTTGATTACACAATTTGACACAAAGACAGAATTAATGTTAAATAAACATTGAGCTATTCAAATTTGATTATTTTATAATCTTATTTTATTATTAGATCAAGAATTTTGTTATGTTACGATTCAATCAAAGGTACATTCACAAAAGATTATCTTCATGTTTATGGTAATGGTGGATTAGGAATGTGATTATCAAATTTTCAAAGATTTGTTTAATTTACCTAAATGTTGAAAGATGAACCTGGTACAGCATGTAAGGCAGGTAAATTTACTAGAAATTTCTCTTCACCAATTTCTTCAGTATCTATTCAGTATATAACAATAAAAGCAAATATCTTGTATGAAATACTCATGACAACACATGAAGAATATATTGAAAAACCATTCACAAAGGTCAAGTGTTTGTATCTGTCACTGCAATCTGTCTGTAAAGAGGAGCTGAACTGAATAGCTGTCATTACCTCGGTTTTATCAAATGTCAAAGTGCACTTAAAAGAGGAATAGTCATCTTTCTCTCTCTCTTTCTCTCTGTCACTGCAACATGATCTCATAGATATTATCAGAGGAGCTGAAGGTCCCACAAAGAAGAAAAAAAAAGATTTTTTTCTCATGGCACTCCCACGTTAGGACAATGTAACGTAAATTTTACTGCTAACTTTTTAATGACTTGACACCGCAGGTTATTTTGAAAGCAATTTCTAAGTGCATGTCACTGAGGTACATTAGAGATTTTTACTAGATTTCACCTCTTTTTATCTCTGATAATTCTTCAGAGAAAAATCCTCAGCTTACATTTAAACACACAAAATTGTTGAAAATAAATTATTTTTTAAGCAAAGTATAAAGTGACATTTTACCAGAATTTCAAACTGTTAACCGCTGATCATGTTTTTAAAAATAAAACCGGTATTGCTAACTTACCATTCCATAAAACAGAGAATCAGAAACAAATTATTGATTCTATATACAGTTAAATACACATGTAAATAAATAAATAAGGTATCTTAATCATTGTAGTACAAAGTTAATTACTTATACACATCGAGTAGTAGATTAGTTTGAAATTGGATTTCACAAAGAGTAATTTATCTTTTTAAATTCCTGTGAGCAAGTGAAAACGATATATCATATCAACCAGCGGAGAAAAAGAAATCCTATTTGAGAGGTTAAACCAGGTGCACCTCTTCAAAATGATTTCATGCTCAAACGCTTTTTCAGTCCTGTTATTACTTGAATCATGATCTAGCATGAATGTAAATAAATAAATAAATAATATTTGCTGCTTCCCAATGATTACAGAATTGGTTCACTAATACATCCCATTGGGTTTGTACTTTACCTGACACAACGTGCTAGTAGAAAATTCAGATATGGTCTGTTATTTGATTCAAAATAATATAATATAATATAATATAATATAATATAATATAATAATACTTTAGTTATGCACCAAACATTATAAATATTATTTACAAAATAAATGCCAAAATTTTTTGTTTAGTCTCAGAATGTATCACTGTTGTATTTAGAATGACATCAGTTTCATATCAGTTTCAAATGAGTAACAAAAGGGGGCGACAGCAGCACAGCAAACTGCATGAAGACACAGCGGCTTCCGTAAATCACTGTCTGTCAGCTGATCGCGGTTGCTGCTTGTTCAGACTAAGTTATGTTAACACTCTTTTGTCGTGCAGCTTTGTAGTCAGTGTGATTTAGGCTTTGGGACTCTAAACGCTTTAAATCATGGATGATTCAGACACCAGCGCTATTCTTGCGGAGGACGAGTCGAGTGACTCCAGCATAGTCTGTTGTTGTTTTAAGGTGCCACAAAGCAAACGTCCACCGCCATGTTCATGTCCGTTTTCCGTGACTGTGGAGCCCGTTATGTTCCTTTCCATGTTCTCCATAGTTCTCCAGTGGCCCTTGAGCACGCAGTACCTGTGGGATTGTATCAGTGAAGATGTGGGTTACAATGGAACTAAAGGTGGAGGATGTAATGCATCTACAGTCCACGACCCCCTGCAGAAGGTAACAGATACTTCACACTTTTAGTAAAAAAAAAAAAATCTGTTTTTATTCAGAAATAAGCCGTTTCTTTTAGTAAATCAAAAACAATCCTGTACATACAACTGTCTATTGCTGTACATACAACTGTCGATTTGTATATTTTTATTCCTTATTTACTTTCAACAGTTTGGATATGACTATAATAATAATACGGAGTTTGAATATACTTTAAAATGTAATTTATTCCTATGTTGGCAAAGCTGAATTTTCAGCAGCATGATCCTTCAGAAATCATTCTAATATGCAGATTTATTAACAGTGTTGAAAGCAGTTGTTACTGCTTCAACAAAAATATTAGTGCACATTTTTTTCTGTAATTGTTGATGAATAGAAGGTTCAAAATAATAGCATTTATTTTAAATAGATTTTTTTGTAGATGTAATTCATGCAATTATTGATGCAATAAATTTGTTGTTAAACAAAAAGTTAAAAAGAACAGCATTTATTCGAAATAGAAATCCTTTCTAACAATACTGTCTTTACTATCACTTTCTATCAGTTTATCATCCTTGCTGAATAAAAGTATTAATTTCTTTAAAAATAAAAGATAGAAAGAAATGTTATTGACCCCAGACTTTTGAACGGTAGTGTATATTGTTACAAAAGATTCCTATTTTATATAAATGCTGTCCTGAAAAAAATCCTGAAAAACAAAGTATATATATTAAGCAGCACAACTGTTTCCAACATTGACAATAAATCAGCATATTAGTATGATTTCTGAAGGATCATGTGAAACTGCGGACTGGAGTAATGGCTGATAAAAAATTTAGCTTTTCATTAGTAAAGTATATTAAAATAGAAAAACGTTATTTTAAATTGCAATAATATTTCACAGTTAACTTGATGAGCATAAGAAACTTCTTTAAAGAAACATTAAAAATCTTACTGATCCCAAACTTTTGAACAGCAGTGTATATGCAACTGTCATTCTGTTACACTGTGGAAGCTTCTGTCACGAAAACAAATTCCTCGTATGTGTAAACATACCTGGCAATAAAGCTCATTCTGATTCTGATCTGCGCGACCAGAGAAGCACGATTCCCAAACCAATGACAATTTGAAGCGACTCTATTTAGTGAATCAAAAATAGATTAAAATGCAACGAAAGTTATTACATTGTAAAACTTCTCACAAAGGTAGGCTCTGTGTCTCAAATAGCCTACTAAAAACCTACATTATATATATTTTTCCAAAAGAGAACTCAAACTTTAAAGGAGATCTCAAAAGAGCAGAAATTATGGTTTTATTTGTCATTTGTTTCCCTCATCTAGAAAGTGGAGACTCTGACTGCACACTGGAACCTGTACATCAATTTGGGTGGATTTCTAGTTGGGTTGATCATGGTGACCCTGCTGGGCTCATGGAGTGACCGTGCAGGTCGGCGTCTTGTTCTGATCATCCCTTCCCTTGGCCTGGCTGTTCAGGCATCTGTGTATTTGATTGTAATGTACCTGAAGCTGCCTGTGTTCTGGTTCCTCATTGGGAGAATCTGCAGTGGCCTGACCGGGGACTTCAACGCCATTTTGGCCGGTTGCTTTGCGTATGTGGCTGACACAAGTGGCAGAGGGTCTCGCACTTTTCGTGTAGCGATAATAGAGGCTTGTCTCGGAGTGGCTGGCATATTTGCAAGCGTCATTGGAGGACAGTGGCGACGGGCACAAGGGTATTTTAACATTTTAATATTTCCGAGAATAAAGATAAAAAAAATCATGTCATGTTTTCCTCCAGGTATATCAACCCATTCTGGCTAGTACTGGCCACAAATCTTGCAGCAGCGCTCTACGCATACCTGTTTGTGCCTGAAACAGTCACCCCTGACCCCGAGGCAAAGCTCCTCTCTACCAGGCACCACCGGGCCATCTTCCACCTCTATTCTTCTGATGCACCACAGGGACGCCGAACTAAACTGTGGCTCTACACTATCTGCTTCTTTTTGGTGGTGTCTGTACATTTCGGCTGCAGTGACCTTTATGTGCTCTATGAGTTGAGCGCTCCGCTCTGCTGGGGTCCAGGGCTGATCGGTTATGGCTCTGCGGCCAAAAATCTGGCCTACCTCACTAGCTTGATGGGGCTCAGGGCCATGCAATGCTGTATGAAGGACACCTGGGTGGCTTTGGTGGGCCTTACCTCTAACATAGTGGGATTAATTGCGATTTCGTTCGCTAACACCACAGCTCTGATGTTCACCGGTAAGACCTCTGATATACAATTTGTACACTATCGTTCAAAAGTTTAGGGCCGTAAGATTTTTTAAAATTGTGTTTGAAAGAAGTCTTTTAAGCTTACCAAGGCTGCATTTATTTGATCAAAAACACAAAAAACTGTAATATTGTGAAATTGAACGGTAGTGTATATTGTTACAAAAGATTCCTATTTTATATAAATGCTGTCCTGAAAAAAATCCTGAAAAACAAAGTATATATATTAAGCAGCACAACTGTTTCCAACATTGACAATAAATCAGCATATTAGTATGATTTCTGAAGGATCATGTGAAACTGCGGACTGGAGTAATGGCTGATAAAAAATTTAGCTTTTCATTAGTAAAGTATATTAAAATAGAAAAACGTTATTTTAAATTGCAATAATATTTCACAGTTAACTTGATGAGCATAAGAAACTTCTTTAAAGAAACATTAAAAATCTTACTGATCCCAAACTTTTGAACAGCAGTGTATATGCACGAAAGTTTAGATTATGAATGTAAATAATCATATCGATTATTTACTGGTTAACACAATCTTGGAAGCTTACTTACAAATGCTATATTTAACATCGATTATGTAGCTGTACAAAAACAGTACAGCCAAATGTCAGAAGACATTAATAATTTACGATTCAATTAAAAGCAATTATCTGACAATTCCAGAGTGTGACTACAAGATATTATGTTAGTGTTCTACTATTTAGAGCATGCCTACATTACATGATAAAAATCAAGATGCTGCTTTGAGACATTTCGAAATATATGCAGTGCTGCTGCAACCTCACAGTGTCCTCCAGTGGCTACAGTAGGTAAATATGCATCAAGGAAATGAATTTGCAGAATTACTGCTTATCTTTCTGTCTTTGTCAGGATATGGCCTGTGCTTCCTTTTTATGGCCTCTACCCCAGTCCTGAGATCTAAACTGTCCAAGCTGGTAGACCCTTCAGAACAAGGTGAACAAGAACAGCTTTGTGTCACAAATGAATATCATTAAATAAAAAGGAAGAAAGTGTTTTGTTCACTTTTTTTGCTTCATCCTAGGTGCTCTGTTTGCTTCAGTAGCGTGTGTGGAAGGCCTGTGCTCACTAGTATCTAGTGTGGTCTTTAACTCTCTGTACCCTGCCACCCTACACTTCATGAAGGGATTCCCTTTCATCTTTGGGGCCATCATCCTCCTTATTTCAGCTGCCATTATTGGGTAAAACCCTCAATAGTTGTTATTTAGACTCTCAGTTTGTTAATGAACCATAACAGCAAAAGTATTATAAAGTTTACTTTATCTAAAGATTCACGGATTTAGATTTAAACAGATTTCTTGGTTTTATGTATGTGATGGCTTTATCTTAATCTAAATGTATTTTTTCATTGTGATGTGTACAGAGGCTTGGGTTGCCAGGAGGAGAAAGAGTGCGGAGAAAACAGAGAAGGCTCTGGGATATCCTGATTCTTTTATTCAGCAAATTGATCAAAAGCGACAGTAAAGACACATTAAATTGATCAAAAGTGACAATAAAGACATTTTTAATGTAACAAAAGGTTCTATTTCAAATAAATTATGTTACTTTAAACTTTCTATTCAAAATACAATCATGAAAAAATATTAAGCAGCACAACCATTTTTATCATGGATAATGCGATTTTAGAAGGATCATGTGACTCTGAAGACTCCTGAAAATTCAGCTTTCAGAAAATATATTAAAATAGAAAAGTTATTTCTAATTGTAATAATATTTCACAGTAATTAATTTCATTTTTACAAAACTTTTGAACAGTATTGTTTTTTTATTCTTAAATTGAATGATGAATTTCACAATTTCTGCAACTTGTGATCCTCATCATATTCTAACATCAGCACTATTTGACACCATTGTTCCAGCCACTTAGAGTGAATGTTCAAGGATTCCCTATGAAGATAGCCTGTGTGATTCCAGTATTTTTTAAAGGGGTCATATGATGTTGCTAAAAAGAACATTATTTTGTGTATTTGGTGTAATGCAATGTGTTTATGCGGTTTAAGGTTAAAAAAACACATTATTTTCCACATAATGTACATTATTGTTTCTCCTCTATGCCCTGCGTTTCTGAAACGCGTCGATTTTTACAAA